GGGCCCAGACCCGACTCCCGACGCCAGCGGACCCGAGAGCAGACCACACATATTGTATCCTACTCAGTGGGACGGCGGGGGTCCAGCTGGGCTGCCTGGGGTGGAGTAGGGACACACGCGAGGGTGGGTGGGAGTGGTGGCTGGGGTGGTCTGGGGCCTGGGCGCCCCTAGAAGGGTCGGGCGAGTCAGGCTGCCCCGGGAAGGGTGGGGGTGGCTTCAAAGAATCTTGGAGGCTGGGAAGGAAGTGGAGTAGGAACCTTTATGTAGCCACCAGCGTCCTCAGCGTGCCGTTCCCAACGCCTTTGGACGCAGGAATCGCTCTGGGTTCTCTGGCTCCAGATGCTGAACCGCACTCGGGAGTGATTGGGAAGGAGCTGACAGCGAGTGACAGCACCCTAGCCGTGTAAGTTCGACAGAGGGCTGGCATTGCCCGGCATGGCGGCGCAGGCCTGTAATCCCAGCAATTTTGGAGGCTGAGGCAGGAGGATCAGGAGTTGGAGGCAAGCCTCAACACCCCAGCCAGACCCTCTCTAAACTAAAAAGCAAAAACGTAAATGGCTGCGGATGCAGCTCGGTGGTAGAGCACATGGCTAGATTGCTGGAGCCCTGAGTGCCCCCATCACCGGGGGAAATCAGAAGAGGTTGGCATAGGGGCGACATGGCTGCACTGGAGACACAAAGACACAGGTAACTTCCAGGGAGGCAAGTGAGGTCCTGAGGTGGCCTCTGTTGGGGTGCCTTGTTACAGGTATCCCAGGACTGGGTGGAGAGGGAAAGTGAGGGCTTCCCACTTCCAGCTTCGCTTCTCTCCCTTCATCTTTAGCCGCTGGACAGCAGAAGATTCTCACCTCCTCCAGGTTTCTGTCATCAGCTTCCTTGACCAGCTCTCCCTGGTTGTGCAGACCATGCAGCGCTTTGGGCCCCCAGTGTCCCGCTGAGCCTAAGTGGCCAAGGATGAAACCTTCTATCCCCTCCTACACAGGGTGGCCTGCCCTAGGGCAATATGTCCCAAAGCAATTGCACCCTAAGTGTGGGAGACCAAGGGTTTGGGGGGTCTCGCCCTTGGATGCCAAGGGTCCCCTCATTTTGTTTGGTGCTTAAATGTGTGCTCTGCAGAATATAAAGCTGACCTACTACTCTGCATCTGGGTGTCTCTGTTTCCCTGTGAAAATGGGATTGGATGCAGGGTCATTCAGCCTCCTGCATAGCTGTAATCAGAAGCATGAACTGTCATGAACTGGCTATAGCTGAAGCTCTGTGTGTGTAAGAGAGAGACAGAGAGAGGAGAGAGGGAGAGAGAGAAAGAGAGAGGGAGAGATACTGCTGGGCATTGAACTCAGGACCTTTACACTGCACTACATCCCTGGTCATTTTTTATTTTTGAGATAGGTTCTCGCTAAGTAGCCCAGGCTGGAATCACATTTGTAATCCTGCCTCAGCCTCCCAGAGTGCTGGGATGACAGGAGTGTGCCATGATACTTTCCTCAGTTTATTTTCAAGGCTGTCGACCTGCAGCACAAAATTGCTCTCCAGAAAAGGAGCTGACCCACTGGAATGCTGGTTTCCACCCCCTTAGCACCAACGAGTATTTTCCTGCCAAAACAAACAGCCCCTCTCCCCACAGGAACTGCATGACAAGCGAATGACGCCAACAAGGCAGAGACCCTAGAAGAGGACTTTCCAGGTTTACCCGCCTTAGGAGGAAAAGTGCTGAGGCAACTGGTTGTACTATTTAGGGGAGGAGTAGGCTCCTTGTAAGATACATTGTGTTCTGTGGTTTTGTTAAACTCAGTCCAGGAACCCAACATGGTAGCCTGTCATCCCAATGCTTTGGGAGGCTGAGGAAGGTGGATCGCTGTGAATTCGAGACCAGCGTGGGCTATGTAGTGAGTTCCAGGTCAGTCTCAACTACATAGTGAGACCCTGTCTCAAAAAACAAAAACAAAATGAAAAACAAAAAAAGGGCTGGGGCTGTAGCTCCATCTGAGGGCTCTGGGGTCTTCTGTAGATGTTTCATTGATGTGGTTGTTTTCTCAGAACAGAGGCAATCTTCCTTTCTACTGGGAATGCCTTTGGGTGACAGATTCCCTGCATCAGGTAGGCTGTGCTGCTTTCCTGCCTGTGATAAGCTCAGGGATGACAGGTTGCTGTGCTGGGTGGAACCAAGGCAGCGAGCACACTGGGCAAATGCTCTGGCCACGAGCTGCACCAGCCCAGGTCTGTCACCTTTCACCGCCAGCACCATGCTAAGCGCTAGGTGCTCCTGTGCCTATGAGCTGTGTTTAGGGTGCTGGTGGTGCCTTGGAGTTGGTTTGAGACTTTTGACTCTCGCCTTAAAGATAGGTGAGCTGCAGGCCCCAGAGCAGTGCTTGGTGTGGGAGAAATGTCCACAGCCCAAGGCCAGACCCTCCTGAGGGCACTGCCCAGATCCTGGGTGATGAGGCCCTGGCCTGGTGGCCAGGTAGGGTGCCACTGGCCCTGTGTCCTGTCTGCAGACTGGGCAGTTACCCGTCACCTTCCAGTGCTGGCTTGGGCATGCTTTGTGCTCTGTGCCCATCCGTGGACTGCGGGGATGCCAGCTGGGCCCTCTGAGACACCCAGGGCCCTGGGGTACCTGTGTCCGTGGGAGCCCAGCCTTCCAGACCTAGTGGTAGTGGGTCTGTCCCTGCGCCCAGATATTTATTTTGCCTGCTGTGATGGGTTCTAGCAGGGGCAGGCTCTGTCCAGGCCCTGGTACCCACAGGGCACACTGTGGCCTCTGCAGAACTTGGGGAACTGTGCAGCTGTGGCCTGGACACGGCGCAGATTGTATGAGGATGGGGACTGTGGAGGCTGTCCCTGGCTGCAGAGGTAGCAGTAGTGACTGTGGTGAGGCTGTGGCTCCAGAGTGCATGCACTCTCCCTCTCCCGTCTCTCCCCACCTGCTTGTCCAAGCTGCCCCCCTCCTTCCTCCAGTGTGATTCTAGAAGATTCTGGCCATTTCTCAGGATTCCCACTGCCACTGAGGTAAAAGCTAGCCTTCCTTTCCTGTGTGTGCTCCGATGAGGGCAGTGTTTGAAACCATCTCCCTCATCTCTGTTCTCTATCCATCTCGTTCTTTCCAGGCTGATGGACTCCACAGGCGACACCCTGGGACTTCCCTTTGTTCTGAGCAGGAACCCTAATCCTGAATTACACAGATTCTCTTCACTGCTGTACCCTGCACGCACATTCCTGTGTGCATGCTACTGGGGTAGAGCCCAGGCCTCACCTGCTGGCCCAGCGCTCTACCATTGAGCCTCAATGCAGCCAGCCCATTCCTGCTGGCTTTGCTGTGTTCCTTTGATGATGCAGGTTACCAAGGCAGCATGGGGGACACGCTGTAAAACTCAGCTATTTTCAGTGAGTGCTCAGGCACAGACACCACCAGCATCCATGGCCACCACCACCTAGATGTTCCTGTCCCCATGCATGTGGGAGCTGCTCAGTGGCTTTTGGACCTCAGTCATATCACAGTATTCCTCTGTCCCTAAAACTGCCCTAGGCTTCGTCCCCAAAGCACCGAGGCCATTACAATGGCCGCAGAGGCCACCGTCATGAGGCCCGTGTCTTCTCCCACCTGCTTGCTCCCTGACCCCCCCCCCCGCCTGGATTCTGACCAGGCCACACAGGCACCCTCCTGCCTCGGGGCCTTTGCACTGGCTCTGCCTGTCAGCAGCTGTCCTCCCCAGCATCTCCCTGGGCACAGGAGGCGTCACCCTGGGCGGGGCTGTTCCGGCCACACTATTTAGAACTGCATCCTGTCACCGCTCCTGTGAGGCTTCACTGTGGGAGGGGGCGCATGGGGAGGTGACCACGATGGGGGTCACAGCCCCCCAGGAAGGTGGGCCTGCAGGGACTCAAGGAAGCCGGGAGTCATGGAAACCCGCCCAGCTGAGGGTGCTGTGTGCTATGCCCTATGCCTGTTCTCTATTGGTTTCTGTCATTTGTCCCGTGCACAGCTGACCAAAGCCTACGTGCTCCAGGGGTGTACAGCATCGTGTTTCCAGAGCCATGAGTGTTCTGCGAGCAGCACCATCAATCTGCTGAACGTTTCCATCACTGTCCACACTCAGAGCCACTGTGAACCTTCTCCGCGCTGAAGCATTCGGTATGGGCCCAGGGCACAAATTTCCCCTACAGGGCCTGGCAGAAGTGGGCGGCAGCCCCTGGGCCAGAGGCCTGGGTGCCCCAGTCGGGTGGGGGTGTTGGGGAGCACACAGGAGCAGACTCGCAGACCCCTTCAGCCGGGACCCCCAGGACTTGCTTCTGGGCTGGCTGTGGCCCTCGAACCGCCCCAAGCCCCAGAAACCCCAGGAGAGTCGCCTGACCCCTGTCACAGGAGCCTGGTGGGTCCGCCCACCTGCCCCAAAGCCGAGGCACACAGGGACCCAGGCTGTCTTCCCCACGTTTAATCAGGACATGTCATGGCGCCGCCAGAGAGCTCAGGTGACCAAGGAGGAAGAGTGGAGTGCAGGATAGAGAGACAGATGGGCCAGGGTCCTCAGAGGAGCAGGAGCAGAAGGCAGGTAGTGGGAGACAGGAAGGTGATAACGCCGGGGGCCCGGGGTGGGGCTCCCCAGGGCAGCTGAACCTGGGGTAGGGGCTCCGGCTGCCCATGGGCCGACAGTCAACGCTAAGGACGTTTGGCCGAGGGGGCAACGCCCAGGCCCAGGACGGAGCCTGGCCCAAGCCTGACTCCAGGCCCTTGGTGCTCAGAGACAGCGGTGTCCCCAGACACCCTTGGAAGGGACGGATGCCGTGTCCTGGCTCGCCACAGCCCGTGGGAGGGCATTACTCCTCTCTGAGCACTGCAGGCCACCAGGCACCCTTCTGGATATCAGTGGGCCAGCCAGGGCCAGACAAGGTGCCAGCAGCTGGGTCCAGGTGTGTCAGGGACGGAGAGCCATGGGATGGCAACTTCCCCCAGAGGACACATGTTTACAGGTGGAGCTCCAGGTGGACATGAATTTAATAAATAGGTGGTCAAGGTGCAAGCAGCACGGAGGGTGGGGCATTTCCAACCCATGGGCACAGGGCCAGGAGGGTGGGGTATTGCTGATGCTAGGGTAGAGGGCTTGGTCCTTTGACCACCTCCCCCTGCAGGGCCCAAAGCAAGGCACTAAGGAAGGGGCCCCGGTACGCTAGGGTCATGTTGGCCTGGTGGCCTCCCCCACGACACCTGGGGCCCCAGGCTGGAGCCAGCCCCTGCCCGTGTCGGGAGGCCCCTCCTCGCCGATTCCCCAACCCTCAGCTGCTGCTGGACCCCAGGCTGATGATCAGCTCCAGCTTCTGGCGCAGCTTGTGCTTCCGACAAGAGGCGTCTCTGTCCAGGGCGCTGAGGAGCTGGGGAGAGGGGGCCCCTTAGCTGGCTCCAGGAGAGCGGGTCCCTCCGGTGCAGAGCCCGCAGTCCTCAGCCGGCTCTGCCCTCCCACTGGCTCAGCTGCCCCCCTACACCCACAGGCCCCTGCTCGGGCTCTGAATAAAGCCACTGCTAGGGTTCACATCTGGAACCGAATCGACAGCTCCTGGGACCCCAGGCCAGGCTGTGAAGATGACTGGGTCATGGGGCTCCTGGCTGCCTCGCTGTTAGGAGGTGGGGTCTGGCATGGAGAGCGGCCCCTGGGCGTGGCGGGGAAGGCATTATCAGCTCTCTGCTCCTCCTCCCTTCCCCGTGCTTCCCACCACTATGCCTGGAGCAGCTCTCCTCTGCCAGGCCCTTGTGCTGTGCTCTGCTGCCTTGGAGCCAGCCGACTTGGGACGGAAATGTGAGCCACGGTCAGCCTGTCCTCCTCTAATTGCGGGTGTCGGGGTCTGGCTCAGTGACGAGAAAGTAACCAAGACACCCACTGTCCTCTCGCGCAGCGCCTCCCTCCAGTACAGACCTGACTTCTCCGCTCCAGGCTGCTGCGCAGCCCCTCCACAGTGGCCCAGACCCTCGGTGCGAGTTGCCCCTTCCTGCTCCCTTCTGACCCCACCTGTCCCACCCACACCTCCTTAGTCCAGGTGTCCGCGTCCTCCTGGGCCAACTCCAGGAGCTGCAGCCGCACATTCCTTAGCTGAGTAGCCGAAGTAGAGCTGGCTGCCCCTCCTCGAGCTCCTGGGATCCCCACGCTCCCGGCCCACAGGACTCCCCTGGCTCTCCTGCCACCCCCTGCCAGCTCTTCTCTTCCAGTGAGGGGCCCTGGGCTGGCACCCGGCTGTGTCTCCCTCTCAGCCCACTCATGCCCTCCTCGGGGAGCCCAACCAAGCTCAGGGCTTTCAGTGCCATCTACTGGCTCACAAAGGCGCTACTCAGGCCCAGTCCTTCCCGGGAGCGCCAACTCCTACCCCCTGTGCCTGGCGTCCCCAGAAGTCCACTTAGCTGGGGCATGGTGCTTGGGCGGGCACAGCCTTCCCGGTTCAGTCCTGTGTGTCCCGGCAGCGATTCCCACCTCCCGCCCCACAGTTCTCCCCAGGTGCTCCTTGGCCAGACCACCCAGTGGTTCTGGAGATCTCTGCTGTCTGTTCCCATTCCCAGAGGACTGCTCTACCCAAAGTCTTTCCCCTATGCAGCCATGGCAACAGACCCCATCCTGATGCTACCTGGGCCCAAACCCTGAAGTTATCCTTTGCCTCCTCCCCCCTGGTGGCCAATCTCTTGGCCAAGATGAATCCCAAAGTCCACACCTGTACACCTTCTGCCAGCTGATATCTGAAACTACAAATCCCATGGGCCCTGCCCCAACCCCTCAGTCCCCCAGGGATCCCTCTGGGGTCCAGCCAGGCCCTGAGCCTTTTTAACTTTTTTTCAGTGCTGAGTATTGAACCTAGGACCTCTGCACTGAGCTACATTCTTAGCCTTTTCTCAATTTAAGATAGGGTCTCACTACGTTGCCCAGGCTGGGCTCGAACTTGGGGATCCTTCTATATCCCCCAAATCCCAGCATCCAGGCAGAGTATCAACAGTGCTGGCCCTGGAGCCTCCTGGGGAGGGACCATACACAAGAGACTGGCTCTGTCCCCTGTGTCCCATCTGCCCCCTTGTGGCACTTCGCTACTCCCCTTTCCCCAAGCGCCCCTTGCTGCATGCTCTGGGCCACACACGCAGGGTTTTGGCAGGTGCAGTACACACCTCCTGGCGGTACTTGGTGACGTAGAAGTAGAGTTCGCTGAGTGCACTTAGAACATTGAAGTCACTGGCGTGCAGACGGGACTGCTCCACCAGGTAAGCGTCCATGTCCTGGTCGCTGATAGACGCCATCTTCGAGATGTCTCGGTAGTACCTGTTGGGACCCTGAGGAGGTCAGTCACCCTAACGTCACCACAGCCAAGCCCACTGCCCTCGCTGCCCAGCCGGACCTTTGGGGCTTTCCATCCCAGGCCCACCTCTCCACCCAGCTCTTGTAGCTGGGGATGTCCTTGGCGTAAAGCAGCTTGTTGGAAGGCGAGTCCTTGCCCAGTCGGTGTTCCGAGGTGGAACAGGAGTCCATGAAGGTCTGGGCCACGACTGACAGGCAGGCGTCCGTGATACTGTTCTTGTGGATGTCAAACACGAACTGCGGGTTCTTGATCACATTCACCCAGAAGCGCAGGGGCAGGCTGCACAGAGAGAGGGCCACGCAGCAAAGCTCCCGGGGGGGTGCCCTCCCACCGCCGCCCCACAGCTAGGTCAGGCCTGTGCCAGTGCCAGGACAGCTTTGGGTAACCAGGACATCTTGGGTTTCTGTGGGCCTGCAGGCAGGGTGGCCCAAGAGTAAATGGCACTTTAGAACTCAAGAGGGTCCAATCCCCTCTGTCGCCACCATTACCACTCTGCACAGCCCTGACCCCCGAAGCTCACAGCACCAGGCCCAGCCCAGCCAACCTGGCTGCCTGTGCTAGCCTCTCATGCCACCCATCCCCATGGGACTGGCAGCCTTGGCAAAGCTGATACCAGTTGCTCTTCCAGGTATGGCGCACGTCGGGGTCGCTGATCTGCCGCTGGTCTGCCTGCTCGTCCAGGAAGTCGAACATATACTTGATGGCTAGGGGCAGTGCCGAGCCACGGTGGGCTGTGCTGAACACGGTCTCAAAGAGGTCGTCCACAAACTTCTGCAGTGTGCCCTGCACGGGACAGTGAGGCCGACAGGCTAGAGGGACCCAAGCCAGGATGCTCCCAAAGCCCTCCAGGCAGGAGCAGAAAGACTCTCCAGAGACAGAGGCATCCCAGTATGGTCAGCACCTCTAAGAAGGCCGTGGCCTGCACCTCAGGCCTGGTGCTCCTAACTAAAGGCCCCAGGAAAGTGACCCCTGCCAGGGGGCCAAGGCTGGGCTCAGAGGTGTCTGGCAGCAGCCAAGGAGGCCCAGGGCAGGCCCACACCTTGGTGGCCAGCAGACGTGTTAGGTAGATCTCTGAAACCATCTTGCTGCCACGGTCCCCCTCCCGGTGGTCGGCATGGTCATGGTTCTTCACCAGGTGCCACAGCTTGGTGCCCGTCTCCTGGTCAGGTGTGATCATGGGTGCCCGTGAGCGGAGGCTGTCCGGGCTGCTGGTGGTACGGAGCAAGCTCTCTGGGGCAGAAGACAGGTGTGATCCTTAGGCTCTGGGGCCACAGTTATCATCTGGCCTCTTGCCCCACTCCCCACTGAGGAGTGCCAGAGTGCCCAAGGGCCGAGCACACTCACCGTAACGGCTGAGGGAACGTGTGAAGGTAAAGGAGTTGGCCATGTTGTAGGCAGACACTTGTTTGGGCACCAGGGCTACTAAGGAACCATCTGTCACCTGGGGGTCACAGAGACAGACAAGGGGCAATGCAAGAAGCCTAGGGGCCACTGCCTGCTCAGATCCTTCAGTGTGCCCACCGGTGGCACCCAGGCCCTGGGGTGGGGGGCTGGTGGATACAGGAATGGGGTCTTGGGTGAACAGGCTCCCAGCCCCTCACCTGGTAGTGGGCCAGAGAGTTGACCCTCTTCCAGTCACACTCGATCTTGGTGGTGACGTCCTCATCCTGGAGGATGATGCGGGCCATGCGGCCCTGGCGCCACTCTGTGGACAGAGGCAGCCCTCAGGGCTCCCCAAGCCACTGGGCCTGCGGTTCTGGGAAGCAGAGGGTACAGCAGGGGTGGGGGCTCACCCAGGTCCATGTCCTCAGCTTTGGGGCGCTGCGAGTAGGGGATACCCTTGTATACAGCATCCAGCAGCTTGTCTTTGGCCTGGGTAACGCTGTCACAATTGAGCACCTTCACCGGGACCTGGCTGCCGCCCTGGCTCTCCGGGCACACACAATGCAGTGTCTGCTGGGCAGGGCAGGAGTGAGCGGGGCCAGACATCTGGCCACCCACCGCTGCCCGCCAGCTCGCTCACCAGCGTCCTGTAGTCGATCTGCTGCCGGATGAGCTTGTCCTCACTCAGAGAGTAGCGGGCCTCACCAGTGATGGCGTCGATGGGGCCCTTCTCCATCTGTTGCTTGATGGCGCAGTACAGCAGGAAGAGCGGCTCCCCCGCGCACTCCTGTGGCAGGGTCAGCACGGGCTCGCTGCCCGCCTGTGTGCCTGGTAGCGGCCACCCCCACGATCGCCCACCCTGCCTCCCTGCCCCCGTCGCACCTTCAGGAACTTGTACAGCAGGAGCGTAAACCAGTTGGTCAGCATCTTCTCTGCCACTGACTCTGTCCTAGGGCAGAAAAAGGGGCTCAGGCCCGGGAGAGCAAGGTCCAGGATGGGCAGGGCTGGCAGGGTTTCTGTACCTGCGCAGCAGCAGCTTCGGATGGTTCTTGCTCTCCAGGTTCTTCTCTATGAGGTCAGCCAGCAGCTGCTTGAGCAGCCCAGTGGCGTAGTCGAGCCGGCTCTGCAGCGCCACCATGGTAAGTGAGGCCACAGTGCCGCGGTCGCGCATGGAGAAGCTGCTCTGGGCCTCCAGCGTGTGGATGAAAGTGAGGACAAAGGCGCGGCTGTGCAGCAGCTGCCCAAAGAGGCGCAGGGCCTTCTCCACATTGGGCGGGGTCTGTGGGGACAGGACGGCTCAGGGGGGGCGGGGGTTGCCAGACTGCGGGCAGGGGCGGGGCCGGGCCTTGCTCACATCCAGCTCCTTGAGCACTGGGTGGGCCTCAATGCCCGGAAAGAGCACGCGCACAGCGTAGGTGCGGTAGTCCAGGAAGGGGATCTGCACGCCGTCCATGTGATTCGTCAGCTCATGGATGTCTGTCTGCAGCTCGGCAAAGGCTGGGCAGGGGGTCAGGGGGCAGGGGTGGAGAGTGAGCCAGTGAAGGGGGCCCGGCTTCCCCACTCACCACCCCCACCTCAGCACCTTCCTTGCACTCCAGCGCCACACGGGACTCCAGGTTGTCCATTTGCAGCTGCAGCCGCTTGAGCGTGCGGTCAGCGTCCTGCGTCTTGCGTTTGTAGGCAACCAGCACAGCAGCGATGGCCAGCAGCAGGAGCCCGCCGCCCGCCGCCAGCCCCACCAGGGCAGGCAGCGTGAGTGCCCTCTCTGCCGTGATGTGCAGGGTGCCCAGCCAGAACTCCAGGCCACCCACCAGCACCTGTGGGACAGGCCACGGTGAGCTGTCGCCCACACGCCCCAGGGTCCCTGGTGGCCCCACGCACACACCATGACAGACTGGCGGCCGGTCTGATGGGGCGAGTCACACAGCAGCTGCGTGTCAGACACCGTGAGTGCACATGGCTGGCCCCCAATCAGCACTGTGTAGTTGAGGCGGGAGCTGCCGGCTGCTGCGGGGATCAGATTCTTGCCCTAGAGGTGGAGGAACAGAGGACAGGGCTGCCCAGGGCCCTCTGGCGCTTTGCCCCTCCTACCCCACCCCTCTCTGGTGTCACCTTCAGCACAACGTGGGATCCCGGCTTGACGTTCAGGACCCCAGAGGGCCCGAGTGGCTCAAAGCTGGGGTCAGGGTAGTAGGTGAAGGAGGATCGGTTGAGGGAACGGGCCGTCTGCACATGGTCTAGCAGGAAGCCAAACTCATCCGGATGCTCGCCTTGTGCCCGGGGCTGGGGCCGCCCAAGGAAAATGCCCGGGGCCTTGCATAGCATGGCAGTGTCATTGATCACCTGGCATGTCTGCGGGGACAGAGGTGGGCAGCCCAGCATGTGAAGGCACAGGCAGCAGGGGCAGGGTGAGAGCAGCAGGTACTCACATTGGTGGTCTCAATGCCACGGTACTTGGCGCGCACCCGGGGCTCCTGAACTGTCAGCAGGTGGGTCCCGCTCACAGTGATGGCAGTGCTTCCACTAGGGACAAGGGTGAGGAACTCAAGCTCCAAGGGCATCACTCAGTGCCCAGGCCCTGACCTGCTCCCATGCCTAGCGTCTCACTTAATGATGCTCCATGTGGGCTCAAGGCGCGTGACGGTGGGGTCCTGAGTGTAGGTGTAGATGACCCCAGGGCTGGAGATGTTGGCGCGATCGATGGCAAGGGTGATGGGGGCCTGGCTGGGACCCAGGGTGGAGACAGGCGAGATACACACGATTGCCTCAGCACCTCTCCTGTGTGGGCAATGGGGTACTTGGCACAGGCAGCCAGGAGCTTCAGACGCTCAGCCCCAGCCCTAGCACCAGCCGCTGCTCAGCTCACCTGACAAACTGGCACTCGCCATCTCTCACAGTCACAGTCACACTGCTGCCAGCATCCAGAGAGTGGCCGGAAATGGTGAGCCGTGTGCCCCCTGAGGCTGGGCCCCGAGTGGGACTCACCCGGTCAAAGGTTGGGGTCTGGAGAAGAAGCAGCCCTGAGGGGGGAGGACGGCTGGGCAGGGCCACCCCACAAGCCCTCCCACAGGCAGGGGGCCGGCTAGGGAGGGGCCACACCACGCACCACAAAGCTGTACAGCTGCTCAGATTGTGTGCGGAAATCGGAAGAACAGTCACCGACACAGAGTTCAGCAGGCCCTGGCAGTGGTCTGGGCACCAGCGACTCCTCCATCTCACAGACAATCCTATGGGTCAGAGGGGTTCAGGACCACTGTGGGCCCGGGGCTGGGGACAGGGACAGGGTGCCCACAAGGCTGCACTCACCTCTCAGCGCTGACATACTCGGTGGGGATGGAGTTGCAGCGCACACCAGCCACCCGCAGGCTGACCTCCCGTGAGGCGAGGCCCAGGTTCTCGCCCACGATGGTGACCCGGGTGCCCCCCTCCTTGGGCCCCATGAGTGGGTGGATCTGCAGGGCAGTGGAGGTGAGAGTTCTGGCCCAGATTCCCAGTCCCCGGGGGTGGGTGGGGTGGGGCTGACCTGGCTGATGCGGGGGTGGCTGCACCGGGTGCCCTTCTGGCTCGGGTGCATCCAGTTGGTTTTGGGGGCAGGGCAGTGTGCCCGCAGCTGGCACCTGTGCTCCGAGACACACCAGCCACAGTTGAAGCGAGGGTCGGCTTTGAGGCAGAGGCCACAGCTGGGCCGCTGCGCCCAGCACTTGTACAGAAGGGCTGTGGGCACATGGGGCACTGTTGACAGAGCAGGTTGGGCAAGAAGCAGGGTGCACTAGGGCCCCAACCTGTCCCCAGCAGTGCCCTACCCCACAGACCCTCACCTCGGAAGCTGGGAGGCTTGTCAATGGGGAAATCTCCATCCCAGACCACAGAGAAGTCCAGCTCAGTGTCGCCATACTCGTCACCTTCATAGGAGTACTGGGGAAGATGGACCCATGAGACGTCCCCTCACTCAGACGTTCCCAGCACAAGACTCAGCAGTGCCTGCCAGGCACTCACCGAAGCATTTTGGCATTGCACGCTGCTGCTGTTGAAGCGCACAGCGGGCACCCGCTGCTGCCGCCCCTGCACCCGTACCACACACTCGTAGTTCTTCTGGCCCGACTGTGGCTGCGGCAGGTTCTTTGCTCGAAGGGTGAGGGGCTGCATGACACCCACGGGGATCAGGAGGTCCCCTCGAGGTAGGAGCTCGGGGCAGCCCTGGGGGGAGAGCAGCATCAGCAGCAACCAGGCCTGCAACGCTGTGCACACAGAATTCAGTGGCTCCCAGCACAGCCCTTGTGCAACACACTGCACCCGCCTCACCTCAGGGCTGTGGACCCTGCCCTCTTGGAAGGAGCACTCTTGAGGGTGGCTGGTACACACGTGGCGGTACTTACACCAGTGGCAGGGGTAAGAGCTGCCCACGCAGGACATGCACCTGGAGGGGAAGCAGCTTCAGATGATGGCGAAGGCCCCGCTTCCCAGCTGTCCTCCCCTGATACACACATGCCAGCCAACCAAGGGAGCATACAGCTGGAGCCTGCCCATAGGGCTTCAGGGACATGGGGACAGGGAGCAGGCAGGCCCCTGTGGCCCTGGAGCAAGCCACCCCATTGTCCTGCCAGGAGTAGGGATAGCCACTAGGCCAGATGCTCACGAATGGAGAACACTGCAGTTGTAGAAGACAAAGTCAGCACCAGCAAACTTCACCCCGGTCTCCTTGGCCAGCAGCTGCAGCCGCACGGTGTGGGTGGCCCCTGCAGAAGCCCAGAGGTGGCTGTGACTGAGGCAGGGATAGGAGCCGCCCTGCCCCGGCCCTCCCTGCCCCCAGCCCACTGACCATGCCCTCTGGTGAGAGCTTGCAGCTCCTGGAGGGAGGGCGAGTTGCAGCGCAGCTCCCCTGAGGCCAGCAGGACGGCCTCATTCTCTGTCGCCTCACCGAAGGTGCAGCTCACTCCTGCGCTGAGGTCTGGCGCATTGTGCAGGGCCACTGTCAGCTGGAAGAAATGGGCTCAGAGCAGAGCGCACCCCTCAATGCAGTACATGTGGCCCTGGCGCCCTCCTTACCACTCACCTGCACCCCGGGTGATGTCACCGACACATTGTTGGGCCGGACCCGCACCTGGACACACTTGCTCAGCTCCTCGGCAAAGCCATTAGGGGTGGAGGCACCCAGACAGGCCCCTTCCCGGCAGCACCTGCACAAGGACAGCCGGTGGGAATGGGGCATGGGGACAGATTGCCCAGCTGTTGGCGCCAGGCAACGGCAAGCCTTGGCCTTGTCCCCTGGGACCTAAGGGACGTCACTCAGGGAAGACACTGCTCATTAGCTGGAGACCTTGGAGGAGGACACGGCTAGGGAGAAGCAGGGAGGGACGGAGGTAGGCCTGCCAAGCAGTCCGTGTCCCCAGAGCACCTCACCTATGCTGTAGCACGCACCAGCCACAGTGCGGGTCTCCAGAGCCCAGGCAGGCCACACAGCTTGGGTACTGTTCGCAGGTCTCCACCGGTAGCCGGCTCACCTGGGGATGGCCACGTCAGCACCCGGCCTGCCCTTGCGCCCCTACCCCCTGCCGCCCCGCGGCCCACCTGCTTCTCACTCAGGAGGTAGACGTGCCGGTGGTCGGGGCTGAAGAGCAGGTCTCGCAGGATGGGGCTGCCATCCACCACGGGGACCGTCTCGTACAGGTGGGCGTCTTGGGAGCCATCGACTCGCACCTGAGCCACAGATGGGAAGAGAAGTGACGGGCCAGGCACCGTTCTGCAGAGCCAGAACCTCCTAGGTTGCAGCATAGTGGAAGCCAGGGCCTGCTGGGGCTGCCCCGATACCACCCACAGCCTGAGGCTGGGTGCCAGCAGGAAGATGTCTCTGGTAGACAAAGGCAGGCAGGTGAGAATGCTAGGGAGTACCACAGAGCCCAGTCCTGGCTTAGAGTGGCAACATCTAGCGAGACAGATGTTTTGAAGGGGTGGCACCTGTGGTATACATGGCTTCTAGCTCAACAAAGCAGTCACAAATGGAACCTGAGTTCCAAGGAGGAGCAAACTCAGCACCTCCCTTCCCAAGCCTCCCTGGACCCCCAGATTAGCCCTTCCCCTCCTCAGGGATGACACCATATTGACCAGGTGAGCAGGATAAGAACAGTGCCATCACCTTGACCCTTGTTCCTTCATGCCAAGCCATCCCCAGTCCTCGAACAGGAGCAGCTGTGACCTGGCCTCAACCCTTATAGGCAACACAGCAGCAGCCCTAGTGCCCATGCTAGGAAAAGCAAGGGGTGGGGACAGGGATATGAGTGCCTCTCCAGGAAGGTGTCATCCTGAGGAAAAGCAGGAGGAGGAAAGGGAGCAAGGTGGAGATGAGTGTGTCCTGATGACAGAAAAGCTGCAGCACACAGGGCCATGTTGGTGCTTGCTCCTTCATTCACAGCACCCGGCAGTGACAGCATGGACTCAGCCCCTGCTCTCGTGGCAGGGAGGCCCCTCAGAGGGCACTGGCACCAGGGAGAACCATGCTGAGACCCTCATCCCCGTAGGCCAAGATCCAACCTCACCTTCTTCAGACTGCCACTGCGTGTGCCGATGAACACCACAGAGTGCTGGTGGTAGGTGTAGGCGGCCACGCTGGCCATGCCATCAGTGCTGTCGGCCAACAGGGGCAGCCCCTCGATCACATGCAGGCCGCCCAAGGGCTGGTTCAGGACAAGCCCACAGAAGTTTCCATTGATCTGCATGGGCTGGTGAACAGGAAGGCTCTGTGAGGGTCCCTGCCAACAGAGGCTGCCACAGAGGCACAAGGCCAAGATGCTACCACCCCCTGCCAGACCCAGTGGGAACCCAGGGGAACAAGGAGGAGGGAGGGTGAGGAAGTGGGAGCCTGGGCCTGTGACATGGAAGACTGGGTGATCGTTGCTGACTTGAAGTGAAGCAAGGAGGAACAAGCTGAGAATGGATGGAAGGCAGGAAGAGGACAGCGGCAGTGTGTGGAGAAAGGACACCTGGCAAAAGAGACAGAAGGGAGGGCAGAGGGAGCAGTTCCAAGTGGGGAGAGGTGGGTGGGCTCACAGTGTTGATGCAGGGCAGCTCTTTGTTCAGTAGCCAGGGCAGGGCCAGGGTGCCCTCCCCACGGTAGCAGGACTGGATGCGGTGCCGGATATGGGCATTGATGTTGCTGAGTGTAAAGAGGCAGAGAACGGTCTGCCGAGGTGGGCTGGCCCGGTTCTTCTGGCCCTGGGAGAAGATGGTGAAGAGGACATCCTCGTCGGCTGGCACACCCAGTGCCTGGGCCAGCAGCAGGCCAGGTTTGGCCAGGTGGGCGCTCTGCACCAAGCGGTACTCCACACCGCGCCAGGAGCAGCCGATGGGAAACTCCACATACGAGTAGAACTCTGAGTCCCCTGCACACATGCGCACGATCTTGGAAGTGAAGAACTTCTCGCCTGCCGTGTCCAGCAGCGTCTGCTGGGTGTCCAGCTGCAGAGTCAGGAAGTACACGAAGGACATGCTCATAAAGCCGTAGATGTAGTAGATGTCAAAGGCAGGGTACAGTGACAGAGTGTCAGAGGGGATCTTGATCTGCGAGGACACAAACTCGTCCTGGTTTACCTGGGAGGCGGGGCAAAGACATGAGAGAGAAATGAAGGTCAAGGCCCACCATCCCTCGGCCGCTCCAGCATCCCAGGCCTGCCCCAGCCCCGCCTGGGACCTGGGCCAAAAAGGCCGCAGAGGAGAGTGATGGCCTCCCTCCAGATGGGGACCCACAGGGGCAGCATCTTGTCCATATGTCTGTAACAGTAAGAAGAAAGGAGGGCATGGGGCTGGGCACATGGCAGGCCAGGGAGCAGACCACACGGATGGGCACAGTCACCCACCAGACTAAACATGTCGTCACTGTCCTCATCGCCGATGAGCTTGCGGGAGCTCAAGGTGGGGAAGTACTCTGACTTGCCATCCACAGAAGTGCCCACAAACAGCTTGCTGGGACCCTGGCCCTGCTCCACGATGACCCCAGCCATGGAGTCTGGCTCTTGTGACCCTGACAGGTAGTGCTCCTTCCGGTGGTGTGGCTCCCCCAGCTTGAAGAGGTCATCCAGGCGCAGGAACTGGCAGATCCCCTGCCAGATGCTGCCACAGGCCACCAGGCGACGGGCCGCATAGTCTATGAGCAGTAACTTGTTCACATTGTCCACAGGCACCAGACGGTGGGCACACACACGCATGCTCGGGGGTGGGTAGCAACGGGCATTGTCTTCCACGGGCCCCGTCACATGGGCCCGCAGCTCAGTCAGGTTGGGGGCCAGCTTGAAGACTCGGTTCACTGCACCCACAAACACCTCCCCAGTCACTCGGTGCACGGCCAGGTGGGTGAGCGTGGTATCTGTCACCATGAAGGCACGGAAGGGCCTGCCACCGCCTGCTCCCTTGGCCACCAGAAGGAAAAGTGAGACAAGGCACAGAGGGAGCATGGCCGGCAGCCACTGTGGACAGGCCTGAGGAGAGAGGGCAAGTGGGGGTCAGAGGCCCTGGCAGTTGGGCTCTGTGCCATGGGGCCAAGGCACTCACCCACCAGCATGCCAAAACCCCAGGAGCCATCAATCACCCCCACCTCAGCCAGGCCACACCCAAGGGACAGCAAAGTCACATGTGGGAAGACAGGCAGCAGGGCCTCTTGGAATGGAGCGCCTATCAACACAGAGGGCAGCCAGACTCAGGGCAGAGCAACCACAAGAAAGCCCTAGGCCTCATATCTCATTGTGCCCAAGCTGGGGTGGGGAGGCAGGGAGAAAACAATCACATGCTGGGGGCAGCTGTACCATGCCAGAATGGCACTGGCACCAGGAGCTCGGGGACAGAGTTCTAGAGAAGCACACCCCGAGTCTGCCTTCTGTGTTCCCCATCTACCACGCTCCTGGCCCCAGCTGCCTTCTCCCCCCCAGGGCCTTGGCTAGCTGTCCAGGACATACAAAGCAAGTCGTGCCTGCCTCCACACCATGTGCTGAGACAGACAGAAGTCACACTCTGCTCAGGCACAGGAGGACAGGCGCCCAGCTGCCCTGCAGGTCCAGAGGTAGCGGTTCAGGGGACTGAGAGCCCTGTAGATGGGAAGAGAAGCCCTCAGTGTGGCAAGCCTTGGGGAGAGAGGCTGAGGGCTGCAGGAACAGTGCCAGGGCTGGCACTAGGCCCCCAGGCCACACCCTTCCAGCTCTGGGCTGCAAAGGCAGCCAAGGTGGCCAGACTCTGCACTACTTTCTCAGTGCCTGAGCCCCAGGGGAGACAAGACATAACCTCCGTGGGGGCAGGAGGTGTGTCGGGCAGCAAAGCAAGGCAACACAGAAGAGAAAGAAACAGGAGTGGTCTAGAACAGGAGTGGCCCAGCTGGAGGCTACAAAGTTTTAGCCTGGACTCATCATCTGGGGCTCTTTTGTCAGCTCTGCATCTTGGACCCTCACCCAACAGCCAGAGAAGAAAGAAAGGCACCAGAGAAGAGAGGCTGCACCCTGCCCTCACGTCCTCCTTGGCCTGTAGGAAGAGGGCTCTGGGAAGAGGCTGAAGACAGGTCGGGAGGGTGACCTGGAGTGGTGGGGTTTGCAGCCCTGTCCCCCAGCCCCAGCCCTCATGAGTGAATGGCAACCTCAGACATCACGGGCACACCCGGCCCCTGCGCGACAGCCCTGCCAACAGAGAAGGCGGTGATGGGGACAGCTCCGCGCCCGCCCCCCACCACGCGGGGGCCCAGCTCGCCCTACCCCCACAGGGCACACACGGGCCCGGGC